GTTCGTACCGTGACGGAAGAAATTCTAACTCAGCAAATTCTGAAAGATTTTTCAATTGCCTCATTGCGAACATTGGATCCTGGTTTTGAACTATCATTCCAACTCTGTGGATTCTTTAATCAGGTGCTTAGAAAATTAATCCGAAACCTAGCCTTCAGTTTTCGAAATATTCGGGAAATTAAAAATCTTTTATTATCGGTTGAAAGGGGAAAAATGATCAAAGGGAATGCGGACCTATCACCCGACCATACGGGTCTAATACCAAAGGTTATCGATCAACGGAATAATTACAAAATCGTCAGATATCTGTATCCAGGTGGATCGAATTTCTTCGGTCCGATGTGTGTATCATCATTTGGAAAAACTGCTGAATTGCGAACAGTGGAAGGCGATCTATTTCAGATTCCTGTTATTGCTGTGAAATCACCCTCCGGAGACTCTATTTCCTATCGGGAATTTCTTACCGATAGTGGTCAAATTTCAGAAATTAAATACAAAATGGGAGGTGACCATATTCTCCGAAAAATTGGTAATTACCTTAATTTAGCTGTAGCGGAAGGAAAAGATATCAGTGTCCTACGGAATTATCACGTTTATCATAATACAATCGAGTGGAACAATAAAAAAAATCCACAAACGGAGGTGAACAACCAACCAAATTCGGACCAAATGAATACTGAAACCTACATTTTTAGACAAGATCCAGCCAGGACGGTAAGTTTATTAGAAAAATTCACCCAAACAGGATTAATAGGTCTAAAGAAGGACAACGAATTAATATCCTTTCGAAAAATCATAAACTCTATGGATTCATACCAGTCTCGACAAGTTAACCCAAAATCCCTAGATTTATGGTTTACTGAAACATTAACAAGACCATCAATTGTAGACTCATTGAAAAATAGAAAAGGAAAGGACTTCTATTTTAATGATCTAACCCTCTTGTCAGACACCAATCCCAGTGACATAGTACCTCAAAAAATTTCTAAATATTCCCTAAAGACCGAAGTTCGTTATCAACTACACTTTAAATCTCAATACGGACTTGTTGATATTTCGACAATTGGGGATAATTTCAAAAGTCAGTATATTGTCTACCCACAAGTGGAATTCAAGGTAGCAGATACGGAGTACATTAATGGAAAGGAAATCCTACTGATAAAGTTGGAGCAAAAGGGAATTGGAAAGGAAGAATGGGTGAAAATTAGAGAACGAGTTGATGCACACCTAGAGGACAGAATTACTCAATCGAGAAGAAGTAATTTAATCGAAGAAGCTGCATTAACCGTAGCATCAAACACCCCTCTACATAGATTTACAGCTTCGGAACAATTTCTAAGAGGTTTTCTACTAAGAATTGATGGAGAATCTCCAGTTCCTACATATGACACTCTAGCGAAGGAAATTTACTCTGGTGCTACAATTCCGGAAAAATACAATGAGTGGAGAATAAAAAATCACATGTTTATCGATGATGTTCTCTTTCAAAGTTCATTGCATCAGGTAGCTACTCTTAAGGACGCGAAGGAAACGATTAATTTCGTCTACAGTGGAATTTACAATCAGGTAATTGAATTTGTCTTTGAGATTTATCATAATACAAAGCCTATTAGATACAGTATGCGATTTGAGGATTTCTATGTAATGTATTCCTATTTCTACAAAACTTTAACAACTGACGTTCATGCACAAAGACGAGTTGTTGCAGCAATTTGCAGACTCGCTTTGAGACAATCAAGAGCCGCTTGGGTTAATACGCCAATTACGATCTATTACGCTCTTAATCTTCCTAAATCGGTTTTTAGCAGAATTATTAGACATAAAACGGGAGGTGATATTAATTTCTCTAAAATTCAGGCATTCTATTCGGATCGCGATATTGTGGTGAAAAATTGTCGTGGTACAAGACCATCCGAGGTATTGGTACTTTATGAATTGGAAATGGCGAATAGAGCCGGAATTGCTGATCTTACGTATATTTTGAATAACCCAAATATTGAGTATTATGTTCCTCATGAAATGACAATGACCATAAGAAGGAGAAATAAGGAGACAATTCAGGGACGGGATGTATTTGTATTAACACTTCATTTTGATAAATTGCCAGTTGAAAATAGACTTGTTGACATTGTAAACAAATTAAATGAATTATACTCCACTGGCAGCAAATTTTACCACGTTCAAGGTCTTCCTTAGACCTCGATTATTTCTTTACTCTTTTAAACAGACCTTTGAGTTTGTTCAGTTGGCTTTTGTCCCCTACGTCAAATTCTTTCTTAGAAGTTGATATTTACATAGTCACGTCGTTTTCTGTTTAATAAGAAACTTTTTATTTTACCAAATTAGGTAAATAATATTTCCCTTTTATAAGAAAAGAGTTTAGACAGAATCTTCCAGTGAACTAAAAATTAATTTTTGAACAGCATTTTCTAAACTTTCTGTTCTTCAAAAATGGAAGTCGAAAACTTTCTAATCTTTCTACTTATCCATATTGTTGGTCTCCACAATTCTAATGCTGTTATTTCCAAAAACACTGAAATTCAAATCCAATCAATTGAGGAGTTAAAGCAAAGGGAAATTGAAGTACTGAAAAATTCCGGAATGCCAGAACCGGACCTCTTCTACAATCTTAAGAACCAAGAAAATTCCTACACAATTTGTCCGGATTTGAAGGAAAAAATGCGAAATCTGTACAGATCATCTCATGGTTTTAAAATATACAGGGAATATTTTGAAAGTGCACTTTCAATTACGTACGAACGCTACAAAAATGGTAATGTTACTTCTAAACTAAGGTACGAGGATTACTTCGCTCTCTACTATTACACTCAAGTTGGACATTACGAATTGAAGAAAGAAACTCACGCATCAAGACGAATTAAAAATGCTCTTTACAAATTGGCAATAATGCAATCAAACGAGAGTGATAAAAAATGGAATTTCACCTTATTTTACGGCGAGAGTCAACCACCGAATTATTATCAAACTTTCAATGATGTTGATTTGGAAAAGGAATTTTCTCTAAATAATTTTACATCGACGTCATTAAATCGTTCAATGGCAGAATATTTTGTGGAAGGAAAAAAAATGTATCACAGAGACGATTGGACAGCTATTTATGAAATAAATGTTCAAAAATCAATTTTAAAAATTGATCTTCGAAATTTTAGTTTCTATGAACAAGACGATAAGATTGTTTTAATTCCGGGAATGAAATTTACGATAAATGATTTAATTTGGAATAGACGTGTCTACGGTTTATATAAAACAACAGAACCTGAACTAATAGTAAAACTTAAGTATAACGATGAAAAAACAAATATATTTAGCCAACAAAAGCATGTTATGGAAAAATTGAAAGAATTACGAAATTCTGGAACACAATTTTATGTATGTTAATTGGAAATTATTTCTATGAGTAGATTAATAAATTACACAGCCACACAAAAAATAGAGTGTCTTGATCTGGGGTCGAGACATATGTATTCCGATGTATTTCGATGCGCTGAATCCGAATCCGCCCTCAGAATTTGGCCAATGGGTCCTGGTTTCGCCCTAACCTCAAAAAATACCCTAAAATCGTTTAAACAGTCACTTTTGATTTATCAAAATTGAATCAAGACACTTTTTTTTTGTGTGGCTGTGTTATTTATGCTTAAAAAAAATGTTAATTGTTTTTGTTAAAAAATAGCAATGTTTGTAATTCTAATAAAAAAAAAGTTTATAGTTCTAATAAAAAATATGTTTATGATAAACAAAGGTTTCTAACCAAAAAAGAAATGTTTATAATTCTATGTAACTAAAATTATCAAAATATACAATTTTGTCTAAAACAATTAAAAATATTATTTTCAGTTTGATTTTTAATTTAATTCTCCTTTTGTTTCTGATTTTTAATTATTACACTGCATTGGATTCTGATTTTGAACTATCATATATACCAAGAATTTTAATTCATTTACCAATATTTCAAAAAATATAATTCACTATTAATTTCGAAAAATGACATCTTTAGGTTAGGAAATTTTGACAATAATAATTATTATTATAATTTAATAAAATCAGTAATTTATAAACAAATTGTAAATTATATTTTTTTTAAATTGAATTAGTAATTGAAAATTAAATTATATATTAAATTCATTTTTAATTAAATTAAACTTTAAATAATAATAATAATAATAATAATAATAGTCCTTCATAGAGATAAAATTGTAATTATAATAACGCTTTTATTTCTTGATACAAGTAATATTTTAATACATTTATAATTAATAATTATAATATCAAAATCAATATTTCGCTATTAGAACCATAAATTACTCTGGTATATAAAAAAGTAGTTATTGGTTAGGAGGGATTATTAAAATTGTTTTACAAATATTACCACAGATGTACGATAAATTCTTCTTCGAAATTTATAAATGCGATATATTTCATTTTTTCTTATCTAAAGTTTAACGACAACTAAAGAAAACGAATAGATAATTATAATAATATTTCCATTTGTCAACAGCGAATACAAACAAAATCGTCTACAATTGTATACACGAAAAAATATAATTCAATAATTTAATTTATTTTCTTTAATTTATTTTCCTAACTTTATTTAAAAAGTAATTTATCTGTATTATATTAATTTGAAATATAATTTATTTTACACACTATATTCGAAAAGTATTTTTATCACTTTATTCGAAAAATAATTAATTTTAATTATAATTTTTGATGAATAATTCACTTGAATTGGTTTATTTGAAAAATAATTTATTTTAATCACTATTATTAGCTTGATATAAGAAAAATCTCAACAATAGTCAAACAGTTAGTAGTAAGTTTCATTTTTTGGTAGTGTAACAAGACAAATTTTGAAAAATTGCTGTCAAGAAATAAATATATCTTAGTAATTATAGAATTAAAAAATTAGAGAATTTGAGACTAATTTTGAAAAACTGATTATAAGCAAATGTAAATATTCCGAAAAATTGTTATATATACTTAAGCTAGTAAATTAAAGATTGGATATTAAAAATATAAAAGATGAACAACATAACCTATAATCAATATACGACAAACTTTCAGTTTCTTTCTGTTTGTCACTACATCACAAGTTTTGGTCTATTTTTTTACAATCATAATCTAATTCCCCTGGATCGTCGAAATCATTCTTCGTGTGTTTTGAACACATTTTTTGACTACATTCACAATTCGGAAAATGAAACCGAAACGAAACTTCAACTTTTACGAAAAGTATTAAAAGGAAGTGATCTGTACGGTGGGGGAGAAAATGAAACACTTGACATGAAATACTTGAACGAAACATATCAGTACATCATTAGTAGTGCTCTTTTTTCTCACTATGGCAACATTTACGGCTATTTAGCTCAAATAATAAATCGATCTGACAACATAACCTACTTGGCACTCAAGGAAAAGGTATTTCAAGAACTTTCGAAAACTTACATCAGTCGTGATTATTGTTCCTCAAGATATGAAAGTTTTGCTCTCACCAATTTGACAATTAATAAAGTTTTCAATGAATATATTTGGTCAATGTTTCCCGAACCAGAAAAAAATAATATGGAAATAATGGACATTAATTATATTTACGCAATGATTGGTTTAAAAATCGCCCGTTCTGTTCAGGCGGACAGTGGGAATTTATCTTTCGACAGTTATATTCTTTTATCCCAAGGTATTGAAATTCAGACAATCGATGACGAATCATATCAACTGGCTATGGAATTATTCGCAACGCCGGCTTTATTTTATTATGCTTCTAAAGAAAGGGAGAATTTTTCCAAAAAGGATATATCAGTCCTGATAAATAGTAACAAATTTTGGCAAGAGGCATTCGAAACATTTTTCCACTTTCTCAATTTTTCTCTACAAACAACTATTAGAAGTGATTATGAGAAAAGTCTCCATTATAAATTAGAAATGGAACTAAAAAGTCTGGAAAATCGAACACATATTGCCAGTAAGATACTAAAGACAGTTTGTAATTATTCAAGTTATGAAGAAATTCCGTCATTTTTTGTAAATGTGTATAAAACTTCGCAATTTATGTTGACATATGTTCTCCCCGATAGATGTCAATTTAAGTCATTTCCCAATTTGGAAAAGTTATATAATTCTCAGTTTGAGTATTTAACTAAGTTATTTAATGAGATTGAACAAAATTCGTTGGAGAGGGTCCTCGTTAACGGAAAATTGATCGAAAAAATGAATTCGAATGCAAGTGTGAAATTTGCAAGTGTTCCAAATTATGAAATGCATTGTATGTACTGTGCACCATTGCCAAGAAAGATGAACAGTGATATATATTTATTGTTCGCAATAACCGAAAACGAAGAAACGGATTTTTATGCCATTAGACAGGAGAACAATACTTTGACTTTACTTTCAAGTAGTGTAGACGAACCGGAATTTTCCAGAGCAGTCGCTAATGTGTCATTCTTAAGAATGGAAGTTACAATTTTCTCCCGATTTCTTAAAAAACGTGGTGAAGATTACAGAGTTTTTATTCAAAGGATTGCGGATATTAAGACCGAACAATTTGTACAGGGTCTGAAGAATTATTACCTAGATCCAACCACTGGGGAGAAAGTAATAGATTTCATGAAATCATTAGTGCCATTTTATACCTGTATTGAAAGTATAAAATCCGGAAATGAGGCAGGTGCTGTATTGAGCTGTAGTCTTGATATCTTGACACTTCTTCCAGTGGCTGGAGTTGCTGCAAAGTACTCTACTAAATTATGGAGTACATTTTTAGTTGAAATAGGAAATCAAGCCTTTTGGAGTCTGCCAAAATTGTCGATCAGGGGAATGGGTCAAATTTATAGAGCAGTTTCTCGAAGTCTAACGGAGGAAATTCTAACCAGACAACTTCTGAGGGACTTCACTGTCGCCTCCCTAAGAACACTGGATCCTGGTTTTGAACTATCATTTCAAATCGGTAGATTCTCGAGTCAAGTTCTACGAAGAATGTTCCAGAGTTTGTCGTCAAGATTAACGACAATTTCGAAGAATCTTCTGCTGCCAGTTGAGTCGACAATGAATGTCCTTAGAAATCCAAATTTATTGCCTGATGAAACAGCACTTGTGCCAAAGGTTATTGATCAGAATAATTATAACATGGTCAGATATCTTTACCCCGGGGGTTCGAATTATTTTGGACCTAAGTGCTTAACATCGTTTGGAAAAGTTGCCGAAATGAGAACAATCGAAGGAAACACTTTTCAAGTTCCCGTTGTTCCATTAAAATCATCCGGTAGTTCAGTCCACTATCAAGAATACAATCCCAAAACTGGTAAAGTTTCTAAAGAAAAACTCGAAATTGGTAGAGATGATATTCTCCGAAGAGTTGGAATTTACATTCATCAAGCAGCAGCGGAAGGAAAAGATATCACTGTCGTACGTAATTATCACGTATATCATAATACAATGGAGTGGCATCCACAAGCAAAGGAAAACCTGAACGATAATTTCAACCCACCTACAGAAGGAGATAATCCGTCTTCGAATTTGGAGCCTTCTTCAGAAGATTTACCAACTGATAACACTCCCAAGACATCTAAAACACCCGAAAATTCCCATATCCCCCTTCATGGACTAGATACACAACAAACGTTTGCCTTATTGAAAAAATTCAAAAAAAACGGATTATCAGCTTTAAAGGAAGACAAAGAATTACTACAGTTTCGACGAATGGTAAATTCCATCGATTCTTATCAAACAATGCAGAAAGTCGAACAAACAAGAGACCTTTGGATAATCCAGGAACAAACGCGACCATCAATTGTAAACCTATTGAAAAACCTCAAAGAAAAGCAATTCTATTTTAATGATATTACCCTCGTAACCGATATTCCTCCAAGTGAAATAATTCTCAAGAAGAAAATAAAATTTTCTTTAAAAACAGAAGTTCGTTATCACATAAAAGTCAATTCTCAATACGGATTTATCAACCTAGCTGCAGTTAATAAAGATTTCATGAATCAATATCTCGTATTTCCAGAAGTCGACTTCTTTGTAACTGACACAAAATTTGTAAATGGAAAAGAAATTTTAATTGTAGAATTAAAACACTGGTCATTGAAAAAGGAACAATGGATTAAAATTAGAGAGAGGGATAATATGTTACTTGACAATAGACAAATAGTAGAAACCCCCAGGGGAGAGAGTGTTGAAAAAGCTGCCCTCTTCATATCGACAAATACACCCTTAAAAAAATTCTCCGAATCGGAAACTTTTTTGAAACAATACATTCTAAAATTAGTCGAAGACAATACAGTTCCTAGTTATGATTCATTAGCGAGAGATATTTACGCCGGTACAACATTACCGGAAAAATATAATAAATGGAAAATAAAGAATCACAAATTCATCGATGATGTTCTATATCAGAAAAAATTGCAACAGGTTGATAATTTAAAATCTGCGAAACGTACTATTAACAAAATATATGGAGGTATTTACAGTCAGAAAGTGGACCCCGTATTTGAAATTTATCATAATTCACCTACAATTAAAAATCTTGTTCGATTTGAGGATTTCTACATTATCTTTTCGTTGTCATTTCAAAATTTTTTACTTGATGTTAATGCATATAGACGTATAACTGCAACAATGTTAAGACTCGCGCTAAGACAATCAGCGTATGCAGAGAAATTAAATCCAGTTAAAATTTACTATTCGATTAATCTTGCTGTTGATGAATTCGATGAATTGATAACATTAAAAACTGGTAGTGACTTAATGTTCACACATGTGCAAGCATTTCAAAACAATCGTGAATATGTATTGAAAAATGCAGGAGAAACAAAAGCATCTGACACTTTAGTTTTGTATGAATTAGAAGTAACAAATCGAGCTTGTTTTGTTGATCTTAGTTCAATTTTTGATGATCCAAATGGACAATTCTTTGTACTAGCAGATACTGCACTTAGGATAATGAATAGAAGAAAGGAGATAATTAGTGGACGTAATGTTTTTGTCGTTACACTTCAAGATGATATGTTATTGACAGAGGAAAGAATCGTCAACACAGTAAATATGTTACATAGTCTACTTTCTAAAGACACTAAATTTTATTACAATGATTTAAAAAAACGTAACTAATTGAAAGTAATTATTAATTTTTTTATCGTTTAGATCGGAATATTAAAAATAAAACTTTTATAGATAATTATTTTCATGAATTACATTTAACTATATAAAAAAAATGTAATATTGAAAATTATTTAAAACTGATGGTTACATCGCGAATCCCATGAGTCATTCTCTAACTTGACCATATAATGTACATCCTGCGGACAAGAATTTTAATAGAAAATATATTATAAACAAAAGTTATTTAAACTATATTAAATTATGTATGCTGTAACGTTACGGTTTAAAAAAATAGTAGGCAAATAATATAAAAAAAATTGACGCCGAAATTTTAATAATAGCGAATATTTTAAAGCAGTAAAATAATTTCTGCAAAATATGAAATTCTTGAAAAATTGTTGATAAAAAACAGAGAGAGAGACATAAATTTTTACAGCGACTGACAATAAAAAAACTATCGCTGAAATATTCCTTTTGATAAATGCAACAATTGTAATATTCAAAAATTCAATAGCGAATATTTGCTTTGTTCCTTAACTTAATTCAATAGTTGTTCGACGCTCTGTAAAATTAGCTCTGTCAGAGACAACCAACAAGGTAAAATATAACTATTTATTTTAATTCTTTTTTCTACTTATTTCGATAAATTTATAGTAAGCGCTTTGTAATTTATTTATTAAAACCAAATATTCTATGAATAAACTAAATTTTTATAAATATTGGAAAATATGTTATTCTCCCAGTTGCATAACATATGGTAACGATATTTTGGTTTTATTTAACTTTATACTTAAATAATTTTTAGTAATTCGGATTAGAAATAAATGTGAGATTACGATTTTTTTATTTATTATCGTTGGAAATGAATTATTGGGGAAAAAAATTTTATACTAAAAAAAACCACGTTATGTCCTTATCACTATTCATTGAATTAAGAAATTCTATTTAAATTTTAATATTTAACTGGTAAATATTGTCCAAAATTTTGAAAACTATTTGTCACTACAGGCTTAACGTATAAAAATATGGCGTAAAAAGCAAATATTTTAAAGTAAAATAATTTCTGCATAATGTGCAATTCTTAAAAAATTGTTGGTAAAAAACAGAGAGAGAGATATAAATTTTTATAGCGACTGATAATAAAAAACTGTAACTGAAATATATTTTTTTAATAAATGCAAAAATTGTAATATTAAAAAATTTCTTCTCTTCACTACCCAACTCCACCAATTATAACTTTGGTACACCATTCTCGCTCATTCCTATCGCTTGCACCATTTTAACACTTACACTGACCCCTACCCACGCACAGTTTCCCAGCTCTCACTAATTTTCTCAATTTTTCTGTCCTTATGTGGTTCAAGGGCCGTCACCTTCCTGCTAGTACCATAGAAATTTTTTCCAGCGCATCCTAAACGTCTTCCTTTTTTGTAAGGACCCCATGTCGAGGATATCCAGCGGGTTTTTCCGGTCCGAAATCTGCACCTTACCTTAAGCTCCAATTACACTCGCAATTACCTTTATCACCTCCTCGTTGAAAGACGCCTTATTTGAAGTCCCTCCATTTTTAATGAGGAGGTCTCCCTTTTTAGTGAGTAAAGCTCCCAGAACCCTTGTCTGACTGGCCTCCAGGTCAGCCTCTTCACGAACTTTCTTTTGGTCCCCTTGCCTTCAATCCTTTTAGGAGGTCCCTCCTCCTTCATCCTCTATTTCTCTTCTGACTGTCCAAGACAACGTATGAGCGATGTTAAGCTTCTGAGTCTATGCTTGATTGTCATATTGACATTCTTCTGGTCTTCACACGACTTCAGCATTTTGCTGACCTCCTCTTTCATTTTTAGAATGCTCGCTGTCTCTTCCTCCCGTATACGGGAGGAAAATTATTAATTATTAAGCTATAGCTTAATGCAATCATCTCGATCTTCATTACAGCTAGCAATGTTAATCGCAGAAACAATTATAAAGACAGGAATGCAACTGGCTTGACTTGTTACAATGCTCGTACTCCCTCGTCTCTCCACCTTGTCCGCGATGATCTGTGGTATTCACAACCAGTGCAGGATTTAACCGAAGCATTACCCCGTAGGTACTCTTCCTTGTTTTTACAATCGCTCACACTTGATATTTTCTTTTTGCTGGTTTTGGACCGCGACGAGTATTTGATTTCCTCGTTACCACCTATTTCTAGCAAGCAACCCTATCCGCTACCTGGGACGCGTCCGATAGAGGAACAGCAACCACGGATAGTGTCTCCTACCTTCCACGGTAGGAGACATGTTGCAAATAGAATTCGAAATGAAAAATAATATTTGTCAAGTAATTTCTTTGGACAATGAACGAAATTTAACAAAAATAAAGGGAATTATCGATGTATTATAAACATCAAACTGCTGGAAATATTAACTTTCTTGAAGAAGACGACAGGAAGCAAATTTTTATTTTTCAAAAAGACATCAACAGGACATTGGCTATAATTCACAAATTCATAAGAACTGGAATATCAGGCTTCAAAGACGATAATAGAGAGTTGTCATTTTTACGAAAATTTGTATATTCCATGTACTGTTATCAAGATAAAAAAAAAATCCCCTTCATCATCAAAAGCATTGTGGTTAACTCTACCATTAAAAGATCGAACAGATTTATTAAAATATAAATGGATGAATACAACGAATTTTCATTTTAATGATATTACCATAATGAAAGTTTCTACTCAGAAAGACGTAAGAGTAACTTTTAACATAAAAATGAAATTCGATTATGGAATTATTAATTCCTTCTGCATTTCACAGTAGTTTTAAGAATCACTACATTGTATTACCAGAAGTCAAATTTAGTGTACCGTATATCTATCATTCTGGCAGGAAAACTGTAATGATTAAGCTATTATACCAAAGCCAATGGCAAAAGATAAATGTCAATAGAAGAATACTACCGTAATTTCTAATTAATTTTATTTTTATGTTACTCTTTTGAGTACTCATCTTTATTTCTAATGTTACCGTTCAGTTTTACTTTTTTCATTTTATTACAATGTGTAATTAATGATACTTAATTTGTAACATTTGCATTATTAATTTCTGCTAATTAAATATCTTGTCATGTAAATAAAGGAAAACTATAAAAATACCAAAATTAATAACATATTTTGTGATAAAATCGCGAGGTGGCTTTCTCCCCCCCACCAGGTGGTACAAAAAGCCATTTGCAGAGGTTTCGTAAAACTCTTATACCTTAGTCCTTTCATGGGATAAAAAATATTTCCGTCAAGAATATTCAAGCTTAATAACTAAACTTTCAATGCCAATTGGAAATTTGAGAAAAAAATTTTAAATTCAGATTTTATAAATTAAAATGTAAAAATGTGGCTATTTTACCCCGTTCTACTCTACATATTTATTTTAAGCCTATTTTTTTATTTATTTTGGAAAATTTAGTTTAGACTAAACTCTCCCATGGTGGGGAGTAACAGAGAGTTAGTTCTATTGTAAGCGTCTGTGAGTGTACACGTGTGATAACTCGAGTTATGTAAATTGATACATATTTCTATAATAAATATATTGAAGACTAATAACTAAAGTTTATTGTATCAGTAAACACCAACAAAGTAAAATTTAACAATTTATTATTAATATATTTTCACTTATTGTAGCAAACGTAGTTTACCGTGTAAAAAATGTATTTATTAAAACACAATAAGGTATTAATATAATAGACGAGACTTCGAAGTATATTACAAAACTTAGCCCGGCATATCAAAAACTTTACAAGTCATTCATTCTCAGCCATCAATATTTAAAAAATCTTATTTCGTACACCTTAAAAATGTAATCTTGTTTGATGCAAATTCCTCTAAACTGGATACATATTTTAATCTTATATATAGAATCAAAATTAATAATTTTCACTTTAGATGATTTCCCTCTCTCATTATGTCCCAGTGCCCAAAGGGTACCAAAGTATAAAAATATTCTATATTCAAGTGGAATACTCATCACATGATGAATTTCCAGTTTCTCTCTGTTTGTCACTACATTTCCAGTTTTGATAAAAAAATTTACAATCTGGATTTAATTACACCGAAAAATCAAAACTATTCTGTTCCTGTATTGAATACACTTTTTGAATACATTCGAAATTTGGAGAATGCATCTGAGACAAAACTCCAACTTATTTGAAAAGTATTAAACGTAAGTGATCTCTACGGTGGCGGCGAAAATGAAACACTTAACATGAAATGTGTTGATGAAACATACCAGTACATCATTAGTAGTGCTTTGTTCTCACACTATGGAAACTATGAGAGGGACAACATAACAGGGCGCTAAATTGGCAAATTCAAAGACTGTTATTTTGAATAAAACTAACTCCGGAACATGAAAAATTTTAATACTCCAGTATGGAATTGAAATGGTAACTAATTCTTATTCCAATAGCTTTTAGACGGGACAACATAACAGGGCACTAATAGTTAGAGTTTTTAATTAACATTCTTTTATAAATGCATTATTGTTAATAAATAATTAAATACATATTAAAATTTAGGTTACTTCAAAAGATTTTAGATTATTGCAATTTTTTCAAAAATTTAAGTTCTGTACAATTTCTAATTAAATTTATTCAAAATTAAAATTTTATAAGAATTTCAAATTGAAACCTTTTGTTCATATAATTATTCATATAATTATGAAAATTAATATTAAATTAAAATTAATTTTGAAACATTAAAGTAAAATTAATAATTAAATAATTTTGTGATAGTTCTTCGAGAATTGGGTTATTTCAAATTATGTTCCGGAGTTAGTTTTATATAAAGTAGCAGGTTTTCAATATGCCTATCTAGTGCCAGGTTATGTTGTCCCGTCTAAAAACTATTGGAATAAAAATTAGTTACCATTTCAATTCACATACTGGAGTATCAAATTTTTTCATGTTCCAGATTTAGTTTTATTCAAAATTGTTGTTTTGAATAACAATTTAAAATAACAAATAAAATTTCATTTTTTAATCAAATGGACATTTCCTATTTTTTTTAAATTTTTTTCATAAAGGTGAGATTTTTTCCTAAAAAAATGTTCAGGTCAAAACGTGAGACAAGAACTTTTAACTGGTCAAAATAAACATTTAGTTCTGCAGTCCAGCGCCCATGCGCGTTGTTGGGCTGTATATTGTTTCTAACAATTGAAATACATTATTTTATGCTTTATTAATTATCTGGTGGTCATATTCGATAAATTTGAATTGATTTAGATCATGTGCAGCAACGGAATAAGAAAATAAACGTCCTTTTTTAAAACAGTGTATTAATTTGTTAACTTTGATTTAAAAAAATTATAAACAATTAAAATACCAAAAATCGGCCTCGAGGGATGTCTTAAGAATTTATTCCCCTTTAATTTAAAACAAAGAACACTCAAATCAGTTAAAAATTGTAAGCTGTAGACATTTTTTAATAGTAAATTGTAAAAAAATTCCACTGTGGTCCGGTGCACTGCAGAATTAAATGCTTAATTTGACTAGTTAAAAGATCTTGTCCCACTTTTTGACTAGTTAAAAGTCAAATGTCAATTTGATAAAAAAATGAAATTTTATTTTCT